TCAAATCTGACTGATTTAAGTGGTTGCTAGGTTTTATGTAACCAGTGATTACCTATTTAACTAATCAAGGGAGGAGGGAGGAGCATTAAGCTTATTGGGGGAGAAGAATGACACTGGTGGAGCATAGGCTGCTATGGGAAACAAAAGGGCCAACCAATGCAAGGAGATAAACAGTTGTATAACCATAAGTATGTTTTCAGGAATCATTTCCACCCACAGGCCTGGCTAGTTTTACCCAGTCCAAAAACTGAAAGTGGAAAATATTTGGCTTTATGCTTTCAGCAGTCTCTGTTTCTAACAATCCTTTCACTCGCCCTGCCCAAATTGCCATCCTGGCAGCTTCATGGCCTGGCCTAGGCAATCCCCTATGGCTTTCTCAAGCTGGTTTCATCCCACCTGGCAGATGGGCAGCCTCGGCATCTGTGCTTGACAGCCAGCAAAGATCTTCTTGCCAGTTTCAGGAGGAACGCTTGTACTGCCCAGACTTGGGGCCCGGCCAGCCTCCCAGATGGTAGCCCGGGATCTATCCACAGCTCTGCCAGTTTTAAGGTTGGAAATTTATGGGTTCTTTTATTAACATTTATCAAATTTACAGTGGTTAATTCTGGTGCCTTTGCCCACTTAGCAGAAAATAAGCTGTTAGTTTAGCTACAGTGTGTGCTTTTTTAGATTTCCGTCATGCCGCTCTACCAGGGTGGGCTTGCCTGTCTTCTCAGCTAGTAGGAAGTTGGCAATGAGCAGCTGATGATGGAAATCAATTCCTTGCATAGCCGTGCAACAGCCTGCTAAAGATTTAATGATTGTCCACGGTGTGCATTTACAAAACCAGGTCTCTACATTGCTGCATATGTACTCACAAGAAAGCAGTGCCAAACAGCCCTTTCTGTACATGTACAGTAGCCAAAGTCCATTTCTGTTGCTCAATGACTTTGTCAGGCGAATTTCTTTACACAATGTGATTGACCCACATGACTTGTGAATAAAATAGGCTCATGAACAAAGCAGTTACAATGGTGCAAGAATGGTTTAACTGGAAGAAGTAGCCCTTGGAGCATGCACTATTTCAGTACTGCACCTGGAGTTGCTTGTTGTTGGAGCAACAATTTTGCTTTTTTCCTAGCCATACCTCTGGTTCAGGCTCTCTGTTGTATGTCCCCTTCCTTTCTGTTTTGCGCATGCGTGCGCGCGTGCGCGCACACACACACAATTTCCAGAATAGATAGATTAGTCCTACTTCTGTCCTTGCAAACTGTTCTGTCTGACTCAATGTTTGGCTTTTTGAAAACAATTAAAATATTTCCCCTTGTTAGTTTACTTTTGATTTAGGTATCATCAAATGAGATAGCAAAGAAAAAGACATGGCATTCCTGGGATATTACAAATATATTGGGAAATAAAACTGTTGAGGAATTTTAACTAATCAAATCTACAGCTGGCTGACAGTGCAAAATCCCAAACCTTAAGTTACTTTGCCCTTTTAGGGAACACTGTATGAGATCTCCTCCTCCCCCATCAATACCTCTGGGCTCTTCTTTTTAACAACACTACAAGAATTTTTCACACCTTATGTTAAAAACAACAACGAAACGCTTACTAAGAACATCTGGTGGGGTGAACAACTGGTAGTACCTACCACACAAGGCTCTCTAAAGTTTACTGCCTAGCTGGTACATGCAGTGCAATAGACAGAATGTTAGGCTTGAACAAGGGAGAGCTCACATCAGCAATGAGCTTTGCACTGTGTGTTGGTATAGTGCAAAGGAGAGACATGCATGCATTGTTATCTGGGGAATTCTGGGAATTGTTATCCAAAAACAGAAGTCTGCACACCTTGAGTGTAAAGTGCTGGCCTCTGGAATACATGTGAATAGGGACGCCAGGAAACTATTGTTCTGGGGTCCTTTCAAGGCTTTTCCTGTTCTCTAGAGCTTGTCAAAGTGGAGTAAAGGAGAAGAGTGCAAGCTTTAAAAGGGCATTTACAGTTTTCTGATTAGGAACTTGTACAGTAAGGGATGAATGGTGTGATCATCCTGCAGTATCCACAGAGGCAGCTGATATAGGTTATTGCGCTTTAAGCAATTCTGAAATCACTGGGCATGGGTGATATTAAGAGCAATGGGGACAACCAAAGGGCAAGATCACTTCCTGCGGGCCTCCCAGTACTGTATAGAATCTGCTGCATTCAGTTCCTTAGACCAGAGGACGGCAGCTTAAAGAACATGCCTCTGCTCCTTATGATTACGACAATATTTTTCAGAGACTGGCAACCCAAGCAAGTGCTCAAACTACTAGGAGAGAAAGAGCACACGATACTGCCTGCAGATTGACAAATGCAGCAAGAATGACTGTCTTAGGAGAAGGAGAAACTTCCGTTGTCTCTTGCCCTGGCTTCAGACAAGAGAGACAGCAGCTGAGGATGTGGCTTTTGGCTTTGCTGCTGGCTGGGATCAAAGAACTTGGAGAAAAATGTGAGATATGCTTGCTAGCCAAATGGATACATACCAGCAGCCTCATCCTCACAATGTTGATCCAGCCCTCCCCGCCACCCTGTATCTTACATTTATTCAAAGGCAAAGATGTCACATCCCACTGCTGTACAGTTTTTAAAACTTACATGGGTGAAATAAAGAATAGGGCTCTGTGGGAGCTTTTGCCCACAAGGATGGAACCCCTGAACCTGCATTCATAGGTTGAATTCAGAACCTACAGCTCTTGGAGAGGGGCCTGTGCATATTTAGAATTTCTGGCAGTCTGCAACTGGAAGAAGGACATCCTTAACTCACAAAAATGGTCCAATATGAGCTTCTTTCCCCTGTGCTTCATGGCACAGTGGTTAAACTGCAGAACTGTAGCCACAACTCTGCTCACAACCTGGTTTCAATCCAAGGCAGCCAGCTTTCCATCCTTTCAAGGTCGGTAAATTGAGTACCCAGCTTCCTGGGGGGGGATGTGTAGCCTGGGTAATTAAATTGTAAACCAAACAGAGAGTGCTTTGAATGCTAAGGGATGGTATATAAACAGCACACTTTATGTAAATTTGCTTTCTTTGTTTGATGAGTGGTCTTCAGGACATGAGCACAGGATTCCTTTGAAGTCTGATTTCACAAACAAGGAAACAGCCTTAAGGTGCTTTAATTGCAGATGAATACTTCTGGCCTCAGCATACCTTTCTTGAATCTACCCTTCTTCATTCTACTTCACTCTTCCACTACCAAATACCTTCCCTCTATCTCATGTCAAAGTTTGACTCCAACTGATCCCCTCTTTAAGTCATCTGGCCTCCACAACCCTTTGAATAAAAGTATTTCAAGACCAGTAAGGGGCGTTTGGGTATGAGGCATGAGCTCACATATTTCTTTCAACTAAATAGATGACTGGAGAAGACTGGGAAAGGACTGGATTTTGTTGAGCACTGAAGTAGCAGTATGAAAGTCAGGAAGTTTGAAAATCAATGTGACAGTCTAAGACTAGACCAGTGGTTCTCAACCTGAGAAAACACTAATGTTCTTGGACTGCAACTCCCAGAAATCCTGGCACAGCTAGTGGTGAAGGCTTTTGGGAATTGCAGTCCAAGAACACATGGGTTACTCAAGGTTAGGAGCCTCTAGACTAGAAGAATCTGAGGCTCCGTGTCCAAGGGGAGGGGGGTCGATTCATCTTCTGCCAGAACAGCTTCATACACACTTTGCAATTCCTATTGAAATTTGTGGGGCTTACTTCTAGATCAATATCCTTAGGATCCCCTGCCTTTTCCATTCTTTCCCCCTGCCTCCATTCTTTCCCCGAGACGATGGTATCGTTTGGCAACAATTTGTGCCCCCTTTCTTTTCTGCCTGCTAGTTATTATTTTTACACGGAGGGCAACCCATTGCATCTGGCTAGCTGAATAAAATGCTATAGCTCATGCTGACTGCCATTTTGTATCCACAATCAAATAATATTTGCATATATATGTAGGCATCCTTCAGTCTCGAGAGACGATGGTATCGTGCTCTGTATGGAGGTCTTGGAACAATGTCTTGTGTGGCTGAGAAGGCCAATTGAAGAGTGACAATCTCTTCCACAGTGAAGACAAATACAATCTGTCTCCTGTCCAGCTCCCTGGTTTTGCTTGTTTCGGGACTGCCTCTTTGCCTCGGCCTGCTGTACAAGTGTCTCTTCAAATTGGGAGAGGCCATGATGCACTACCTGCCTCCAGGCTGAACGCTCAGACGTCAAGGTTTCCCATCTGTTGAGGTCCATTCCTAAGGCCTTCAGATCCCACTTGCAGATGTCCTTGTAACGCAGCTGTGGTCTCCCTCGGGGGTGGCTTCCCTGCACTAATTCTCCATACAGGAGATCTTTTGGAATTCGACCATCAGCCATTCTCACGACGTCCCCAAGCCAACGTAGACGGTGCTGTTTCAATATTGTATACATGCTGAAAATTCCAGCTCGTTGTAGGACTACTCTATTTGGAACTTTGTCCTGCCAGGTGATACCAAAAATGCGTTGGAGACAACGCATATGGAAGGTGGTCAGCTTCCTCTCCTGCCATGCACAAAGGGTCCAGGACTCACTGCAGTACAGGAGTGTGCTTAGAACACAGGCTCTATAAACCTGGATCTTTGTGTGTGTCGTCAGCTTCTTATTGAGCCATACTCTCTTTGTGAGTCTAGAGAACATGGTAGCTGCTTTCCCAATGTGTTTATCCAGCTCGACATCTAGGGAGAGAGTGTCAGAGATTGTTGAGCCAAGGTACACAAATTCATGAACAACCTCCAATTCTTGGGTGGAGATAGTAATAGAGGGAGGTGAGTCCACGCCCTGGCACATGACTTGTGTTTTCTTCAGGCTGATAGTTAGTCCAATATTTGCATAATGTGTGTGATTTGCATAGTTCTTTCATTTCATGGTCCTCTCTCAGAGTCCAGCTTTCCCTGGTTAATTTTTATTTTAATTATTGACTTTGAACAACCTTCCTTGATTTGCACATGTAATTCACATTAACAGACCTCTAGACTGGAGCTGGTTTGCTTTCATGTTCTGTGTCTGATCCAGCCGCTTGCAAACATCAGAGCAAGAGGAGGGGAGGAGAGGATGGTGAAGGATTTTCAAGAAGTAGCAAGCACCTTGGTAAGGATTTTTGGCTAAATAATCAGCACAGAAAGGATTATAATAATCCTCAACCCTGTGGACTATTTTGTGACTTGAGATGGGTCTTGTCAAGATATAAGGCACTGGGAATGAACTACTGGGACTTGAACACTGGATACTTTTTTGTCTGTGTGAAGCTGTTTCATGTGATGAGCTACTCAGCTGCCTGTTGTGGCATCTGCATAGGTTATTTCCTGTGCTCAAGTTGACCTGAATTGGCCCCATGCTTCTGGGCTGGCCACTGGATCCTCTTGGGCAGGAAGGATGGCAGGAGAACCTCCACTTCCACTAGAACAACAATGGTCTTCCCAAGCTCTGGCATGTTCTTATGGCTTTCACAGGAAACCTCTGACATGGTTTTCTCTCTAGTCTTCTCTTCTGATCTGCTTTTTCATCCTGCCCTTGGTCTGTCCTTAAGTCCCATGGGGCATCCTGGTGACTATGTACGTTTTCATGGTTCTTTACATATAGTTGACCATATACTGTTGCCCTTAGCCCACTTCACTGATTGTAACTAAAGAGTCTTTCTGCCTTTGCCTCCTTAAGAAGCCTTTTTGTTCCACCCCACAACTGAATGCTGTTTCTCTCTATCTCCTTCCTCCATACTAGTGTTTTTCTTCTCATACTGGTCTTTTCAATTCCTTCAGCCCAGCATTTGCTCATTTCAGCCCAATATGCACTTCCACTTGTGATGGAGTCCTACCTAACTGAGCTGTTGTGAATTCTAAGGAATTAGAAAGCCCATGTTTCAGTATTTGCAGAGTGCTGCATGAAGTAAAGTACTTGTTTAAGGTCAAACTTGTTCAAGCTACTTACGCTATGCACTGCTGAGGTCTTGGGACTTGGTTGGTAAGTGGCCTGTTGAACTCTCTGACTGAGTGCTAAGCGCTCCTTAGGGAGGCTTGTGCACCACCCCACTCACTTTGGAAGGGAGACCTCTGTTAGAAGTTTGGAGACTCCTGAAACTAGAAGGATATGATCTGAAATGGGGCTGGCATGCATTCATATGGTACAATAGAACAGAAGACTTCAAACATTTCGACAATCATATACTAAGGAAGGCACTCTTGTCGATGTGGAATAAAGTCAAAAACCAAATGTATATTAAGATACCACAGTGGGTAATGCCAATTGAAGCATTTGCTCTACAACATTTGAGAGAAAATAAGAAAACAGTAAGATCTAGTGAGGTTTTAAATATCGATGGTTCTATTAAAACACAACAAGAGCTAGTAGACCAAGGCACTGAAATGGATTGGTGGGCGCGAACACAACTAATATCAAGGTATACTAAAGATAAGCAACAGGGACTTTATCAAGAAAATACTCCTTTCGACTGAACTCTTTAAATCAAAAAGAAAATGCATTACATTTCTATATAATTTCTTGCTAGATTTTGAAACACAAGGTGAAGTAGTAAAAGCATGCATGATCAAACGGGCACTGAATGTAGGCCACAATATTGAATTAAACCAATGGGAACAAATCTGGAAAATAAATATAACTAAATCCACAGCATTGAAGGAGAATATATATAAAATGTTGTACAGATGGTACATGATTCCCACAACTATGGCTAAAATAAGCACTCAATTTTCAAATGTATGTTGGAAATGTAAACAGAAAGAAGGGACATTTTGCCACATGTGGTGTATGTGTAAAGAAGTCCAAATATACTGGACCAAAGGCAACCAGATACTGCTAGGGATGTTAGAAACTCCAATATCAATGATACCAGAATTCTTTTATTAAATATTTTGCTTAATACATTAGATTCTGAAAAAGAATTCTTAGCCAGCCATATGATAACAGCGGCAAGAATAGTACAGTATTCGCGAAACACTGGAAAGTGTCTGGAATACCACAAAGAGACGAACTGATAGGGAAAATACTGGAAACTGCAGAAATGGATATGCTAACAGAATGTTTGAATCCAAAAAAGAAAAAGGATCATCGGGAAACTTGGCTGCCAGTATATACAAGGCTGCAAAAAAGACAAGCTACATACGGTAATTAATAATGGGAATTACAAAATACTTGTCTGAATTTAGATTTTTCTTGAAAACCTCTCAAAAGGTCCTGGAAGATCGCTATTTCGCCCGCGCCTGCCCCGTGGGGGGTGGGAGCAGCGTGGCAAGGGTCTGGAAGGCCCCCTCGGACCCTTGCCACACTACCCCAAGCCCCCACGGGGCCAGCGCAGGCGAAATCGCCAGCTCCCAGGACCTTTTGAGAGGCTTGAAAACCTCTCAAAAGGTCTGGAAGGTCGCTATTTTGCCCGTGCTCGCCCCGGGGGGGTAGCGTGGCAAGGGTCTGGAAAGCTCCCTCGGACCCTTGCTATGCTACCCCCACCCCCCCACGGGGCCAGCATGGGTGAAATCGCCACCTTCTGTGGCTCTTTTGAAGCTTCCCAAGCCTTAAAAGAAGGTGGCGATTTTTCCCCCTCTGACCCCCGGGGGGGCAGGGTGAGTCTCTAAAGGGTCCT